TACAAGTAGATAGGAAAAGTCCAGAGAAAGTCTCAAGGGGCGCGTACGAAATAAAAGGCCTGCCAGTAAACGAAACCCCCGTTTTTTTTTCAGTATCCGGGCATTCGCTGGGCCAGAAACGACGACTGCCAGAACTGTGACGGCCCGCATTTCAATCGATGTTAACTTGAAACTTTTATTTGGCGATTCGTAGCAAGTTCGCATCCGTGGCTTGATTAAAGTAGACAGCTTTAATAGTTGGTCAAGACTGTGTTATACATAATTCGACCCGGAATGCCGCAAATCGCTATAGTCGCAGAGAAATGAACGGGCAGAAACATAAGACCATGGCGGCGAAATGGAGATGTAGCGACAGCGAGGATATGACGACTCGAATCCGTGGGGGGTCTACACTCTGAAAGTGATTATACACTTCGTACTGTCTCTGCAAACCCCAGTTCATGCATTCTTGCCTGTATGTGGCTCCTTATAGCTAGAAATTAATCCCGCTCCGTGAACTTGTATGCATGAAGCCGAGAATACCTACGAATATAACAGTATCTGATGTACTCTGTAATACTTCGTACCTAAGCCGTTTGTGATAAATCATGGTCCTACGTCTACTTTACAGGACTGAGTCATACGGCGAGGATGGATGGACAGATTGAAAATGCACCCAGTCCTACATAGATCCTACACATCTATGTAGATGAAGTCACTGTCATTCGCCAACTACCGGATGTGGTCCGAAATTCTTCTCCAAGTTCAAGTACTACCTACCACGGGCATGTATGTAAGAAGTTTGTAAAACCTGTAGGTATCAAAGGTAGTACGGAGTGCAATTTTGGTGTATCGTGGGCCGGGCGAGTAAAACATATCACAAGTGTATGGAGAATGAGATACCCATACCTACCTACGTTAGTAACAGGCATAGGAGAACCAGATCGGGGGTTTTCCAGTAACAACTGCTTATTCGTACCCCATGGCAGAGCCCTCGGCCTAAGTTGCCGCAATTACGTACAGTGATTCCATTTCCAGAGGCCGTCTGTTGGCAATCATGCGCATAAAGTGATCTGTCGATCCGTATAATTGGTCCGGTTCTCCATCTCCTCGCCCTACTTTCACACCCGCGGGTGATGATAATCGCCTAGAGGAGGTATCCAAACCCTATGAAACGACGCCAAGATGAAGGTAGGGCGAGGAGATCAAAAAACGAACCAATTATACGGATCGACAAAAAGAATGAGCTGTAAGATGCATATTGATTACTAGCATATACCTCAGAATGGATATTCGTAGATACTTAGGGTAAAAGCAGTCTAGAGGAACGTAACTCAATCGACCTTGAGTGCTTCTGGTTTGCGTAGCCATGCAGTGTCATCGTTGCCTATATTGTGGAGTGTAGGCAGCCTCAGGGCGAGGTGGCGCGTGTGATGGCTACACTTTCCTTGCATTGTAGATGTCTAGAACTCCAAGATGAACTCACTACTACCTCTTATGGAGTGAAGGCAATCTTGGTCTGTATCAGACGTGCGTGCTCCCAATCCGGGCATCCTTCTGGTCTTTGTTTCCTCGCCTATTCTGCATTGTAGGGTGGGCGCAACATTGACTTCTATCTACTTCCAAAATTTGCAAGTTACTTTGGGTAGGTAGTAACGTAAGAGGTAGGTAGTTGGGCATTGAGCTCTTTTAATATTATTGCTCTTAAATTCCATGGCAATCTACAGGTAGGTAGAAAGCTCGATACGATGCCGGATTCGTAATGCGCGAACTTTCTGCATCATCAAGAACGTTTGGACCAGAGGCCAAAAACAGCCTGGCTGAATGTCCCTTTGTCCGTTCCTTCTCCTTCCGGGAGCCTGTTCATGAGTCGGGACAGATAATTCAACTGAGAGGTAAGCAGTCAACAGGGGAATATAGCGGAGAAGCACTGTATAGACCGAACTCGAGTCAGAGAAGTAAAACCACAAAAGGCATCAATGGAGCCGGCTGCAGCATCGTCCACGCGCACAGCCGCCGCTAGGGGGTTACTGGACCTCCTGGCTCCGATGCTTAGAGATGGGACGCAACCCGATTCACCGCCAGAATCACCGGTGAGCATGGATCATGAGGAGATCCTCGTCGCCATGAGGCATCTCGCCCGTACACTTATACCGCAACGTCCACTCTTCACCTTCTTTCATGACGGCGAAGTCCACGATCCGCTAGGCGGCGGCAGCTACGCTTTCCAAAACGATATTGCCAAGCCCGTTCTACGGGCATTACTTCGAGACGAAGATTTGTGCGCGGCTTCCGACACAGATTCGATCCCTGTCGAAATCACAGATCCCAACCGCCTGCCAACTCGCCCGATTGTGATTCATGCTGGCCTCCAGCCCAACAACTCCCCTCACGTGGGGACGCTTGTTGTCTTCTGCTATGCATTTGCATTCGCTCGAGCGCTTCGGGATCGCATGTCCGACGCCGCTCAGGAAGGGAGCACATTACCATCAGTCACCGTCTTGATTACGTTCGTTGATACCGCTCCGGTGAAAGGCCAAGGGTTTGACCTTGATGGAAACCAGTATCAGAAGTCGCATAGGGATATGCCCGAGGCCCTCAGCAAGTACATGCCTGATTATAGAGAGGTGCTCCAGCTTCTGTCCACTTGGTCCGGCATCCCAGTCGCAGAAGCCTTTCAGTCCGACCTCTTCTCCGATCCGGGGATGCCGTCGCTGGTAAACTACATGATCTCTCAGCGTGAAGTCCTTGGATCACAACTTTCCCCAAAGTGGGGAGCGCTCGCAATCCGTGCAGCGTGTCCCCGCTGTGGTATTGCGGAGAAACATGGTCGACTCAACGAGTACAAGGTAGATGGACGAGATCAGAATGGTGGGATCACGTTCCATTGCCCAAGTCATGGTCCACACACCATCCGTATCTCTCACCCTGCAGAGGTCGCTCGTCTCGAAGCGAACGCGCCAACGCGCAACTTGCTTCGCAGTATGACACACCTACTCGACACCAGCGCTCACCATATCCGCGTCACAGGCTCAGATTATGCAGGCATGTACCAGGAAACAATGCTCTACCGCCCGCTTGCTGCCTGGTCCGCCATCACGGGTCTAGCCCGCGGCCGCACACCTCACATCCTGTACGCGCCCTTGATCGTAGACTGGAGTGGAGCTAAGCTGTCAAAATCACTCTACGTGCGCGAGGATGCGTATGAAATCATGAAGCAATTAGGGCTGGACGGATTTTGCAGCTATGCGCAGCTGAAAGACCGATTTGGTGGCAATGGTGCGATAGGATTGCGTAGGATCTGGGGCGAGGTACAGCGTTGGGTTGCGGAGCCCAAGAAATTGTTCCGGACTTTTTCATTAGCATATCTGCAAGGGGTGGTCATGCAGGACAGCCGGGCGTGAACTCGAAATATACCTACTACCTAGCTGTTAGGTACATAGTCCGCGCCGCTACCTGGTCGGGATGCGCTGAATGCCTCCTTTAGTGAGCAGCCCAACAAGCTCATCTTCCCATGGCATACATATCGTATGAGAAACGCAAGCAGTGAGTACCTTTGATAGATAATCTAGAAGATCTTCTTCACCTTCTGATCTCGATTGATGCTGTCCCCCCATCTATCCTTGCACAGGTCAGGCCCCACGTAGCGCCATCTCATGGGTGCAGCACCAAATCCCCACTTAGTCTTCATCTCTGTTAGGGTTACCGGGTTTACTAGCTCATATAGCTCCAAGATGGGGTATCCGAACTTAGACTGCTTGAGGCCAGCATTAAAGTCTTCGTTGCCGATGCCGAAGGGTTCAGTCGGAACGGAGCCTGGGGTGTGGCGTACGGAATCCGGGATGACGGCGATGTGTCTGCCCGCAGTAGTATCAAATTAGTAGTCAAATCTCTCGCCAATGGGAGAGGTAGGATTATGATGACACTACAGCAGAGTACGTACGTGATTGACTTTTTACCACCATTTTTGGCTGTTTCGTACAGCCACAACCGCTCGACGCCGTCACGGAGCCGGTACTTGCGATACTCGTGGTTCTTTTGACGACTGACTATGTTTGCTAGATGGACAGAATGAATTGATATAAGAACATCGGTCTGGACCGGTTGAGAGTCTGGATTGGTGGATTTTGGCTCGGGCTTGGGCTTTGCTGGTGATCTCTTGGTTATGCGGTGCTGGTTATTGGTATTACAGGATGATTTGCTGGATTTTGGTGATTCCGTGTCTGAGTCGGCACGGTGAGTGGGAGGGAGGAATGATCTTATGTCCTGTGAGGGCATTGTGTCATTGCTCTCTCTAGTTTTCCTACTTTGTTTATGTTGTGTTGTAGAAGTGAAGCGAAGCGAAGCGATGGGATGTGAAGTATGTAATCAGACGCGTTTTGACGGTCGTGAATTGTATAAGTACCTATGTACCTACCTAGGTACCTAGGTACTTAAGGTAGGTAGATAGTACCTTAGGTACCTAAGGTATGTGATGAGCAGCGTAACGACGCGCCTACTTAGGCGTGCGCGTGCGCGTGCGTGGAAGAGATGCGCAGATAGGAAGTTAAGTACGGACGTACGTACGTACTACCTAGGTGCCTAACCTACAGCTGTGATCTGTGCATACCTAGGTACCTTAATCCGTAGGTACCTATTAAAAGTCACGTCCGCCCGTAGGTACTACCTAGTACCTAGGTCCCTAACCTACCTAGGTAGCGTTTCTCCGCTAACCGAGCCTGACCGAGCCACTACCTACTACCTACCTTAGTGACGCACAGTGGATGCACGCTAAAATTCGTGAGGCCCAGCATATTCCAGGCTACTAAGGGTGGGGCCGGGCACGAGCAAACCGGACTAACAACGGTCACACTGTAACGGATTCGCGAAGCCATTTACCTAACACAATCTAGCATTATCATCATTCTGGGCCCTTCAGAGAAAAAAATTTTTTTTTTTTTCGTTAGGTACGCTTTCTATTGTGCTGGTTCTTTTTATTGTCGTTTATGCCGAGTCGCATTCAACAGCAATTGCAACAAATTGGCTTCGTGGCCCAATGGCAAGGCGTCTGACTACGAGAAAGATTCAACAACACTGAATCCTTTCAACGGTAATCAGGAGATTCTGGGTTCGACCCCCAGCGAGGTCAGTTGTCCGAGTGTGCGACAATTCAGTTCACTCGGACTTTGAATTTGTGGTTTCGTGGCCCAATGGCAAGGCGTCTGACTACGACCGAGGATTTCCTCCTCTGAAATCGTTATCAGGAGATTCTGGGTTCGACCCCCAGCGAGATCATCTTCAAATGCAATTAATTGCGCTCTCTTTTTTGGTCTTTTTTTTTTTCTTACTTACTTACTTACCTACGGACTATTTATTCATCAATCAATTGTTCCATGTATTTTACATTGTACGAAGTAGGTATGTATGTCGACTCGACACATAGGTATTGCAATTCACTCGACTCTTATTTTGCTAAGCAATCTTCAACGGTGAATGTCAGGTGTTGAATGACTGATCTGACGTAAAAAATTCAAGAAAATGTACTTTGTAGACGTCCATGCTTTATTGGCCGGTGCGGTACGGATTAATCCATACAGAATAACATTACAGGCACCGCCTCGCGTACTTAGTAGTAGGTAGTATTTATTTAAGTATATCTATCATTAATCCCGTAATTGGAGAGCCATCCATCCATATTAAGAACCCCGCCATCTCCAACCAAGCCGAGACCTTTGGATCATTCCGAGCTCTTTTAAACTACCTACAGTACATACACCGCACCGCATCGCACCGCATCGCATCGCATCGCATCGCATCGCATACATAGCATACGTATATTATATGTAGACTTCCTTCAATCCAGAAATCTATACTCTGTGACAATCCGGAGCCGAAATGCCCGATTGGCGCTCCGATTATCTATCCTCGTTGCAGGACTCCGAGCGCAATAACCCGGTGAACAAGGGTCTTGTCGAAGCTTGTAAGCGCGCTCTCTCCTCTCCTCTCCTCTCCTCAGCCCGATAACCGCAATACTATATATATTATATATATATATACTCCATCATCACCATCAATTTGTATCCATACGGCCTCCAACACTCAATATATCGCCCCCCTTTTTTATTATAAACCTGTCACTTCCTACAAATGCGACACTGACAACAAGCCCCCATCCAGGCTCCCAACTCGCCGACCGCGTCGCAGTCCTCGAGGCCGAAAAGGCGGCCTGGACAGCGGGTCTTTCACCGCCCCCCGCCAAACTAACATCGTCCTCGAAAGCCAATGCGGCCGATCCTACGGGCTCATCGGATGGTACTGTACAACAGCTCCGCCTCGATCTCGCCGAGGCGCTCCGAGGGCGCGGCCAGGCCCAGGCCCGCTGCAAGGCTGCCGAGGCTGAGCTTGCGGCGCTGAAGACCAAGTCGCTGGCCGAGAACAAGCGGATTAGCGAGCTGACGAACGAGCGTAATTCGTTGAGGGCTAGGGTCCGCGATCTGAATGAGGAGCTCGAGGAGAAGAAGAAGTTTTTGAAGGTACGTGGGATGGAGTACTGTCCTCTGTTTGATTTATTCACTTTTGGATATGGTTTTTTGGACTGTGACGTATTCAGTCAGTATTGCCTGTCGTGAGGCTTGCACAGGTGGATACGCGTGAAGAGTGTGGGTGGTAAAAGGGATCCAAGAAGAGGCGTCTGCTTGCTTGTCTGGGAAACGATCCTGTCCGTGCTAACCGCCTTTTCCACCTTTCTCTAGGACGTACAAGACGACAATCTCACGTTGAATATGGAGCTGAATATGACGACTCAGAAGGCTGCTAAGGTGCAGGCCGAAAACAAAGAGCTTGTTGATCGTTGGATGAAGAGGATGGGCCGTGAAGCTGACGCCTTAAACCTCCAAAATGAGTCACCAACGAACCATAGATGACGGATAGCTAACTGAGAAGAATACGTCCCATCGTCATTATTTATACCTGGTATCATCCATCTACAGCTAATTCGTCTATGCTGTAAGTATCTAATGCGCTGTCGCGCTCCATTTCCAGCCAATTCTCTCTTCCCACAGGCTATGCAAACGTGGAATCCCGCCAAAAAAAAAAAACCTGTTCTAAATGTACAAGTACACGCTACGGTAACTGACCTCTGATTCAGGCAACGAAGCCGATTTCTGTGCGATGCCGCAGACTCCAGGTCCTTATTTCCTGGTAGAGATGTAGTACTCGCCGTCGGATCCAGTCCAACTCACCCAGTTCTCGTGGTATCGAAAATGCTCGACGTCCAGGATACTCGTGGCAACATCGTTGATTGCTGTTTTGTTGTCGTGTACAAAGGACTTGAGGGATATGATCTTGCAGCCCTTCTTCAGGTCAAGGAACATGTTGATGAGGGAGTCGTTGAGCGTGGACGTAAAAGCTTTGTTGTTAACAAGCACAACATCTGCCTCTTTCAGTTTCTCGAGTATCTTTGCGTTTGTACGGAAATCGCCACGCTCGAGATGAACCATTCCTGGCGAGACACCCCAAAGCATACACCGAGCTCTGAATTCAACTTCTTGCGCCTCCGCTAAGTTGCACGCGTTCTCCATCATCTCGCACCCATAACTGCGACATCCAATTTCCAGTGCCGCTTGAAGAACAACATTGCCAACTCCCGATCCGAGATCTACAAAGACCTGATCCGATGTCATTTTGGTTTGGTCCACCAAGATCTTGGTGACAAAAGGATGCAGCAACTCTCCGTAAACATTATCGCTTCCTGCATCGTATTTTGTGAGCATTTCGACTTTCGGGGCCACAGTGCGATCGTAGACCTGAGTGAGGATCAAAGAGACAAGGCTGGACGGCAGATGGTGGATTCGGTCGAGGTTCCTGGCCACGGTGCCATCTTTTACTAACTCGAGAAGCTTTGAATTATAGCTGTCAAGAGCTGCCCTAAGAGCCGGAACATCCCGGTATTTCTCGCTTATAGCCCGCTCCATCTGTCTCTTATAGCTTGTATTGTGATCAATAAAAGCCTTAGACTCGGCGTCGGTAAGGTAGGTTTCGGCTACGCTATCGATGATTGCAAGAATATCCTTGACAGCATCGATCTTATCTTTTTGCCATACAAGCTCGTATCTGATGATATTAGTACTGTAAAAAAAAACTAGCACTTAGGGGCTTCACATACTTTTCTCGCACGCAATGTGAGGGATACTGGACGTTAATCGTCACCTCGTGATCTTTGGCCCCAGGTATTGGTGGGCACTTTGTCGCCCGCGAGGCGATATCAGCGGCATGGATTATGCCGGGTTTCCTGATCTCGTCGCCAAATGCCTTTTTGCGGCGCAACTTGCGGTTCACATCTATTACCCTACTATAAGTTTGTCGCATGCGCTTTCGGAAGGGATCGCCGTCCTCCTCTTCCGACTCAGTGTCATTGCCAAAGACGGGCGAATCGCGAGGCGTATTCGTGATAGCCTTGCGCTTTCGATCGAACCGCCGCTCGTCAGACGAGGAGCGATACGGAGATGCGCTCTTCGGCGGCGACGCTTGCGGCTTGGACAGTAGATTCGCGGAAGAGTGGGGGGTGGGCAAGGCGCGCGCGATTTTAGTAGACTTAGGGCTGGGTCGGGGCTGGCTGGACACGACGACCTTTTCCACGCGCATGACGGGCGGTGCAGCCTTGAATTTCGATTTCTGGCCGAAGAGCCCCATGGCTGTTGGCAGGTATGTTGAGGTTATCAATCAGGCGGTGGATGAATTAGGCTTAAGTTTGATTCTTATATAGTAGGTAAACTGAAAGTCCGAAGAAAGCAGGCTGACTAGGTTATACCATTATATGTCATGCAAAGGATGAGGGGTTGGTTGAGCAAGGCTCTCGTGTCATATGAAGGAGAGTGGTGCACCTGGAAGAATGTGTGCATGAAATAAAGAGGCAGTGAGGCCAGCGAGGAGGGACACAGAAGCAGAAAAGGAGTGAAATGTGAAATGATTAAATGAAAAAATCAGGCGACCAATACATGCAACAAACTGCTTACAGCAGAAAGTTTAAGGTACACAAAAGAACTCGTAAGAATAAGTAGGTAGACGAGTGATTGCACGCGGGCTTGCAGAGGGCGCAGACCAGGGTATAGGCGTTGCCCTGCCCCACTATAACGAGTGGCAATTCAAGTGCATTATGTAAGTTTGATGGGCAGCATCGGTACACTAAAGCACGCTAGGCACCTGCCTATGTACCCCTTACGGACTGGTGCGCCACGCATTACATACTTACGGTCCGTACGCAGTAGGTACCTAAGGTAGGTAGGTATGCATAGGTACCTATCCGGAGGTACTTTTCTGTGGCTTGCGGTGGCTGACGGTGACTCTAGACCCACTAAAGTCTACTTAAGTGCCTTCGTATAAAGGATGCCTTTGGACGTCTGAGTCCTTCGTGTCAGAGTACTACCTTAAGAGGCCTACAAGTACCGCTTGTGCCTGTCCTACTCCATCGTATGAGGTGACAAACTGTCAAACAAATAGCGACAGCCTCAGTGCCAGAGACATGAGACAAAGGGCCTTCATACTCTATTCCATCATGACGTCTAGCACGTCCTACTTCCATGCCTTGGAGCCTCAAGTCTCAGTGACCTCATTTCACCACAGCAAAAAAAGAAATCTTTTACCAAGGAATGAACTTTCGCGGCATCCGAAGCTATCTTTAGTCAGGGGCAATAGAAAGACGTTCATTTATTTTGTGATGTCTTCGCTGCCGCTGGTTTGCCACGGCGAATCATTCAGCAATGAGATTGCGAGGCGGCAAATGTGACTCTATACGTTTTGTATCAAATGAGGCAATTAGCGGCATCTAAGAAGACATTATACTTGAATTTTGTCTATGCAAGAGAGCTTTGTACTGTTGCCGCCCGGATTGGGAACTTGACCCGCGGTCCTTTTTAGATCTGCTTTGACATTGTTGCTAATCCGTCCCTGCTGCGCCCACACAATGAGAGTCTTTATCAGGGTCCATACTAATATAGGCAGCCAGAACACCATCTTGATAGGCACCCATTATGAGGGCTTTCAGTTTCACGATTAGCATACTATTAATCATTACGTTTCGTACCATTCGTTGATATGGCGAAGAGAAAATTTAGCGGCTTGCTTGCTGCGTTGGGCCTTGCAGCCCAATTTGCAAACGGGCAACTCGAGCCCGAATGTAATCCTCTTCATACTAATTGTCCAGCGAAGAAGGCTTGGCCACATGATAACTATTTTATAGACTTTACGAAAGAGACGGGGCCACCAGAAAATTGGATAATTGCTAACAATGAGGTTGT